TGGCTGTCATTCGTCGCATTTCACGGAGGAGGAACGTGAGGCTAGGACGTTAAGCACTTGCTTAAAGCCACACGACCAAGAAGTGACAAAACCCAGACACGGAGGTTTGACCCGCCTTCTCTCATCTCCTAGTAAAACGTATCTCCAGGCAGCCTCCTCCGGGAAACCTTCCCGGATTGCCCTTCCTTGCCCTCCCAGCGTCTCCGCTGTGTTCACTCTTCCCTGCCTCGGTCCTGTACAGTCTGGCTGCTCCTGCCTCTCCGTCCTTGTCCCTCCCATACACTCCTTTCTCGGTGCTCAAGTCACACTGCTCTCTGTCTCTTTTTCTTGAATGCACCAAGCTGATTCCTGCCTGCAGGTCTGCACCTGTCTCTGCCTCCCTGGCGCCTGTCACGTGGCCCCCTCCTACTTGACACCCTAGCCAAAGTAGCTGTTCAGTCTGTCACATGAAGCCCTTTGATTTCTTTCCCAGTGTTACCCAAAATCTGGGTTGACTTCTTGGTAGGTGTAAGCCAAAAGATGCAACCAAGGCAAAGAGCTGGAGAAGGATGGATTTATTACTTGCCAGCAAGTAAGGAGAACACCAGGGACCTTTCAAAAGCAGTGCCTCCTCGAACAGCACAACTGGGGAAGTTTTAAGCTACATGCATATTCGTGAGGGGGCTTGGGAAGTCTACAGTCTGAGCTTTGGTTGACTGAAGTCACTAGGGTCAGAAAGGTCAACATTGTCCAGTCTTAGATTCCATGTGATCTGGTCGTTGAGGCTTCAGGCTGATCTTTACCACTGAAACGTAACCGGAGTCTTTACAGCTGATAGATTATCTTTCTACTGTTATTTCTTTTGCCTGATAACAGTTTTTTTTCTGCATTCCTTTGTCCCCTTAAGCTCAGTAATTACTGTGACCTATTCAAGGTCTAGCATTGTGACCCAGGCTTAGATCGCAAAATGGCTTAGGCTAAAAATGGCCTTTTCATGTCAAGGAAGCCAGGCCTGGTTCTCTATCTGCTGGGCCCCCTACCCTACCTGCTTACACCAGCACCATCTCTCTAACAGGATCACATTCCTTTAGTCATTTCCTAGTTTATCACCAGCCTCACCCAACTGGAAGGTTAGTGTCCTGAGTATGGAACCATGTTAGTCACGTTCCCTGAACATCCGGAGGCTGACTCAGTGCCTGGTGCAAACTGTAGGCCCCCGCTCACCCCAGTAACCCCAAGATGCACCCTGCGGGCCCACAGGTGCTTCACAGCTGGGCTGGAATGAGACTGGACCCCGCCTTCACCAAGCTCCTATTCTAAACCAGGGGAGGCGAGGAAGCCGCTGCCGTGTGACCACAGGGGACTTGGTTTATCTGGGCTTTCCCAGCCTGCACCTCTGTCAGTGTGGGAGGGGCTGTGTTCCATCAGGATGCCTGCCTTCCTGAAGGGCGGCTCCTAGAGTTTCTGCCAGGAAGTCACACGCATCCCGCCTGCTCATGTTTAACTGAGAAAAACAAGTTATAGGGCCCTTCTGATCTCCAGGGACAGGAAACTTCCCTCCCACTCTGTGCCAGGACGAAGGAGAAATGGAATATCAGAGACCAGGCCAAGTGACTGCCCGCCATCTGTATGTCTTGGAGACAGTGCAGACACTTTGGGGCGGGGGTGGAGATGGCTGGCTTCCTATTCCTAGCCCCATGAGCAATTCTGCACTTTGTACTCTCAGTTTTGGACCTACACGTAGGTTTCTGTGGGATTTTGTTTGTGGGGTAATGAGGGTATCTGTGTCAGCCCTCCCTTCAGGGCAGAAGAGCACTCACTTAATGCAGTCCTCTGCACACAGGACAGGGTGTGGCATCAGCGAATTTCCATAAATGGTACTGTAATAATGACCTGATTCCTGGGTTCTCCCCCTGCCCTGCACCAGGCTCGGGTGGTCACCCTCCCTAGGCACGGCAGACAGGAGGAGACGGTGCTGCAGAACTGGGCTCCCTGATGGTAATAGGGATCCGAAAATAAGAGTCAGGAACGTTGTGCACAGTGGTCAGATGCAAAGTGCGTGCAATGTCATAGATTCACCGAGGTTCGTATCCTTAGGGGACTGGTTTCAGGCTATCTGCAAATGCCAAAATTCAAGGATGCTCAAGCTCCTTATTTAAAATGGGGCAATATTTGCATATAGCCTATGCACATCTTCCTGTATACTTCGTCATTCTAGATTACTTGTAATACCTAATTAATGTAAATGTTGTGCAAAAAGGCATAAATACAATGTAAATGCTGGGTAAATAGTTACTGGCTTACAGCAAAATCAAGGTCTGATTTTTGGAACTTTCTAGAATTAAAAAAAAATTTTTTTTATCCATCCGTAGGTTGAAAGGCAGATTCAGAGTACAGACTGTAACCGCTGCCAACCTGTTTCAGTTCACCTCCACTTCAGGCAGCCTGGGGCATTCTCCTAAAACCGAGGGCGGCTCATGTCCCATCCTGCTCGAAACCCTTCTCTGGCTCTCCACTGCCTTCAGAAGACTGGGCGACCTTTTGTCATCTGGGCTTTCCAACCTCAAGCCCCTCCCTGGGCACCACAAGCTGTTTAACCAGAACTAGGGAAGTGCTTGCAGATGGCCATGGCGCCATGCTCTCCACATGTCTGCGCACGACGATCTTTCTACGGGGAACACCGCTGCACCTCGGATCCTTCGGAGGATAACCCCGCTACGTGGCCTCCTAGAATCCTGGGCCTCCGGGCGCTTCAAGGACTCAGCCTGATGTTTTGGAGGACTTGACATGACAAGGTAAGAAGACCTCAGAAAACAACGCTCCGAGCCTCAGCTGTCTCGTCTGTAAAACGGCCACAGCGTGACCGAGGTCGCGAAGCCGGCAGGCGGGGCTGGTCCTCACTGCCCGGAACCAGCCGCCGCACCAGCCCCATCGCCCTGGCTGGACCCGGCAGCGCGGAGCGCAGAGTGCAGAGCGCACGTGGGGCGG